ATTACCAAAGCATCCTTGAATACATCAATAATGGGTCCCACTTTTTGTTTAAAAGAATATGCATATTGGGAGGATATTTTTGTTCAAAGTGGAAATAGAATAAGTATAAAGCATTAAAGTCTTTTAAAATTTTAAATTGTTAATTCTTATTGTATGATTTGTAATACTTTTACGCCATTTGCAAATAATAGAGATCATTTCTTCTTTCTCAATTTATGTAGTACTAAAAAAAATTTGAGACTCAATCAATTTTTTTTGTCTTCGAAATATTTCTAGCTATTAATTACTGTAATTTATAGTATTTTTAAAGAAATTTTCAAATAATATATATTATTTCTTTTGTCCCAATTTATGTGTCACCGGTAAAATTTGAAGAGTCAATCAGATCTTTTATATATTTTTATAACTTTTGAATATTTAAGTAAATAATTATTGTGATTTATAATATTTTATACAATTATTTAAAAAAAATTAAACAACAAACAAAACGAATTCATCATAGGAAAATTACCAAAGCATCCTTGAATACATCAATAATGGGTCCCACTTTTTGTTTTAAAAAATATGCATATTGGGAGGATATTTTTGTCCAAAGTGGAAATATTGTGTAAAAAATGTGTATTTATTGTGATTTTGAATGTTTTATGGGGTAATAGGACGCACACAAAGTTAAGGTGTCTTTTTGAAAATCTGGGACAACTTCAAGTATCACTTAATGTTTTTTCTCAAAATCTAATTTACTTTCGTAAACTATGTGTCAGATCAAAATCAGATTAACAAATTCAAAAGGAATGAGTAATAAATAGCTCATACAATGACATATTTATTATTTAAAAGAAGTACTCCTTTTGGTTGAAAGCTAACAAGATAGTTACAATCATAGTTGCATTGTGGCTTATTAACAAAAAGTACACAAAAAGATTAGTTTAATAATTTTGTGTACTAAGAAAGAAGAAAGAACGTACTCCATCCATTTTAATTTATATATATATATATATATATTATTTTTTGTAGAATTATACACAAATTTCATAATATTAAGAGCTAAAACGTCCCGATACATTGCCTACCAATTTCGAATACATCCCTCAACGTTTTGATAAATCGCGTTTCGATTTAGTATACATCACTCAACATCCTGATACATCACGTACTAGTTTTGAATACATCACTCAAAAATTCGATACATCACGTCTCAATTTCGTACACATCACTCAACGTCCAGATAAATCGCGTAAAATAATATATCTCAGAATAGGAGACACATTAGAATTTTTTGTAATTTTTTTCAAATGATAATGGATTTTAAAGAATATGGTAAAATAAATTGTGTATTTAGATAATTTTTTCTTTTTAATTTGTCCCAAAAAAAATCACCTTAAATTTATTAAGTTCCCTCTTACTTTTAATTAAATAACCAAATGTGTAAAATTTATGATAGACTACAAATTTTAAAGAAGTGTCTTTCTTGTAAAATTCTACTTCCAATAACATAGTGAGTAGTATAATGTGAAAGCGCTGCTTGTTAAAATAAAGTATATAGACTAAAGCAAGCGTGGAATCATTAATTATTTACCAACTTTGGATTATTTCAAGCCCTATACATATTTGACTATTACCACTGGCATAAATTTTCTTCATCACGCATTGAAAAAACATAGCACGAGCCACGAGGCTTGTGTAAATGTAAAAATAAAAGTTGGTACATTAATTATTTGTTACTGGGCGGTGCCAGTAACGCCCAAGTCTTGCTTGGTCTCATCCTTGCCAGCACCAAAAACAGGGCCTCCTGTCCTCAAGTATCTCAATTTGAATACCGCATTCATCTTCACGATCCATTCTAGGCTTCTTCTCTCCCTCTTTCTCATCAACTAACTGATTCATATGTAGTTGGTGTTAAACATCCCTTTGGCTGTGCCCCTGATTTACTCTGCTTCGTTTTAATTTACGTGATATAATTTGATTTGTTATAGAATTTAAAATAATAATAAAAATTGTAATCTTCACAGATGTGAACAAGGAGTAATATATGTTCCTAGCTCTTAAGTACTACTTGTATAGTGCCTATCTAACTTTGAGTAAACATGGACGCTTCAATTGTCATCATGGAATGACTGAAAAGGCTGCCACGTATCGTACATGAAACTCCCATGTGACTAATGTAGACAAGCTCCATTTGTACCACTCCATAGATATGCACTGTCGGTTAGGGGCAGAGTTAGAACGTTAGGTTCATCCCAACTCCTCTTTATCAAAATTTCTTACTCTACTATTGCTATAACCATTTCATAAAATGGGACATGACCGAGTTCTGTAGGCTGTCACTCGCTGTGAAAAAATAGAAGATGAGTAATTACTTTACTTAGAGCCTGATTGACTTTTAAAAAATACAATTTTTAAGTTAAAAATAAAAAATTTAAGTCAAAAAATAAAATAAAAAGTTGGGGGACACCTACTCTTGGTTTTTGACTTATTTTTGACCTTGTCAAACACTTCCTAACTTGTTTTTAATCATTTTTACTTATTTTAAGTTAATTTTTTATATTTTTCAAACACTTTCAAAAAAGACCTACTTTTAAGCCAATCCAAAGACCCTCTTAGTTTTTTTTTTTCCTTCCCTAGGAGCTCCCACCCCTTTTGCTCCCTTGATGACTCGAACTCGCAACCTTCGAAGTGAAAGTGAGGGTGCTTACCATCCGAGCAACTCCCTCTCGTCAAAGACCCTCTGTTGTTACAATGATTTTATGTTTTTTCGCTAGATTTAAGATAATTTGGACTAATTAAAAGAATTAAATGGTAGTTTTATTGTCCAAATAATTTAAATTATATGAAATTATTATCATAATTATCTATATACATTTAAAAATCGCAATCAAATAATACTATTGCTTGTCGAAAGCTAGTTTGAGCAAGAGAAAGTATAGTATTTTACACGGTATCTCAATGAAAGATTTATTGAACTTATTACTCAGAAAGCTACAACTACGTATAAAAGATAGCTCTACACATTATAACACCTTAAAAATTCAGAGAAGAAAACAATGATGCATGTTTGACGCAAAAGTTAAAAATGCCTATTTCTCCGAGTTTTACTATGATGCCAGTGCCACTGGTCAACAATAAGAAGGATGATAGTCAAAACTTTGGTCATTGACTGACTGACTCTATGTATGCTGGTCATCAATTGATTTACGCAAAGCTATCAATAACTGACAAATGAAAATACAAGTCATTTTGTGGCCAATTGAGATAAAAGGCTGGGGATGAAGATAAATACTATTCCCCTTCCATCTCATATTAGTTGATCATTTCATATTAATTGTTTAACTCATTAAATTTAAAAAATATTAATTAAACTTTTTCTATATTACTCTCACAATCAGTTCTTTTTTAAAGTGTTCAAGTTTTATTTATAAAAAGTGAATTAATGAAAAAAGAAATTGATCGACTAATATAAAACGGAGGGGTAGCTTTTAATTTTTCATGTCTATCAACATTGCGAAGACAGCAAATCGAAATCTAATAAATGCAAAGCTAAGGATATTAGAGTAGTGGCCAGTAATGTTTGGAGTTAGGAAGGCCATTATATTGTCAAGTTTTTGATTGCGGCTTTACCTTTCAACTGGGCCCAAAATCCATGTGAATTAGGCCCTGACTTCTAACCCACTAAAACTTGTGGTTAAGGGTGGATCTCAATCCAGCTCCAATTGGCAGCAACCCATTGGGTGAAATTCTTACACAAAAACTCATCTGACTCAGCTTTACTAATTGTGTTAATGTCTGACTGAGCAGCAGCCACGAGGTCTCTCAACAGAGTACATTTTTGGGTTTATCCTAAACAATGTATGAGTATTTGAAAGGACAAGAAAAATGAGTGATTTGACGCAGACGTTTTTTTCCTGTGCATTAGGAATTGGTAACAGAACACACGTACGTAGCATTTGTAGTCGGTATCCTGGGAATGTGCTCTCAAAATAATTTAAATTAAACTTCTCTCGTAAAAAAATAAAAAAGTTGTAAAGTTTGAGAAGAATTATAACTGGACTACAAAATCAATTCTCTTTAATAAATAAATAAGTGTGCATTACTGACTATTTTCGAATTCAAGAATGACAACTTCCATGTAACACTAAACAGAACTTTTTCACACGTAAAAAATTCAATCTCTAGAACAATGTTTTGAAGAAGAAAAATAAACGGGTGCTATGACTATTTTTCAATTATTTTATATTAATTAGCAGTCTTAAAAGTGGCTACCACTATTAAGATCTCCTTCCAAATATGATCGTAACACTTAGTCATGGGTGGTGTTTGAGGAGACAAGGTGCTGCTAAATGCTAATGGTGGAAGAAGTGAGTGGAGAGGATTTGCACAAATAATTAACGGAGGATAAAATTAACCCATTTCACATAGTAATAAGGCAAAATTGAACCTTATCCCTTCCGAAGATCGGATGACTTTTAAAAGTAAAAAGGGAAATCAAGAATCCAGCTTTTCAGTTTCAAACTTTTCGAAATGGATGTCTCATTCCTTAAATGATACTTCCTCCATCCACTTTTATTTGTCATGTTACGTTTTTCAAAAGTCAATTTGACTAATTTTCCAAGTAAAATTAGATTACATTAATTTAATATTTTAAACAAAAAAAAATCAGATATTCAAAAACTATACGAATAGTACTATAAATTGCATTTTTTTGCATATCAATATCACGAAAAAATACATCGTAAAATGTTAACCAAAGTTCTTATAATTTGACTCTAAAAAAGGAAACCGTGGACCACTCTAAATTTTGAACTGTAAATTTATATACAGTCTCGTAATTAACGTTCCCAATCAAAATATACAAAACGTTCTGGCAAAGTCTCCCAGTAAAAATAAACAAGGTGAATTTCTCAAAATATTACTGCTTCCATGAATTAATGGCTTAGTTGACTTGGATTGTTTATATCAATGGAGCATTACTCTTTCTTTTAAGATCAAAATCTTACACGAGGGCATTGAAAATAGAACAAGGTGTATTGGCTTATTAAGCTTGTATTCTTAATTGTCAGATAAAAAACATATTTGGAAGATGTAATTAATCCTTAAATCATCACGTCTCAAACACAAAAATCACTTACAAGCAGAATTGTGACATTACGCTAGTACTATCTGAACAAAATCTTGCATACACCACTATGCATCAGAGTGCACCAATGTTAGTCAGACCTGATAAACAATGGAAAGTGTGTCAATAAAGTCGATATATTGAATAAAATATGAAAAATGTTATTGACATAAATTATAATAAAAATGCTTAAATAGAGTTATATGGGTGTGATTATCTCTCTAGTCTCCCCCTAAAAGGCAATCTCTTGGACAAAGCTCTCCCACCTCAATTGATTCCAAAAGCCAAAGGCCCCAGGACCCACTTGTTCAACCTCCCTGTTGCTTGACTCCACCAGAATCATCAGCCACCACAAGATAATGAAACAACTTTTCCTACCCATTAACTTGTCTCCACGTGTCACCTGTGGATTCTCTCCCCACTTGGTAGTTGCCTAGTTGTCATTTTCCGTCCTTTGCCCCTTCACATTTCACAGTGCCCCATAAGTCTCCAGCATTCTTGCTCAACTTCACTACTCCAACTACAAGTTTTACAACACAAAATAGAGAGCAAGAAAGAAAAGAAAAGAAAAGAGAAACCAAAATTAGTCAGTCCAATGTTGAAAAAAGAGAAGAGTGGGGGGTTTGATGGAAGTAGCAACAATTGGGCAAGGGTGTGTGACAGTTGCCATTCCGCAACATGTACCGTTTACTGTCGGGCGGATTCCGCCTATTTGTGTGCGGATTGTGATGCCCGCATACATGCAGCAAGTCTCATGGCTTCTCGCCACGAGCGTGTATGGGTTTGCGAAGCCTGCGAGCGTGCCCCTGCAGCCTTTCTTTGCAAAGCGGATGCTGCCTCACTTTGTGCCTCTTGCGATGTTGACATCCATTCTGCAAACCCCTTGGCACGTCGTCACCACCGTGTCCCAATTATGCCCATTCCAGGTAGCCACCATTTCTTTTTTCACACACAACATATATACTCCTACATGTTAAAAATTTCAATAAATATGACTTCTAAACCATAATTTCAAAAATGTAAAAATTGAATCCATCAAACTTAAATTCTAAATTAGTCTCTGATTCAAATATCCAGGAACCCTCTATGGTCCTCCAGCTGTTCACACCGTTAGCGGTGGTTCTATGATGATCGGTGGGACCACAGGGGAAGGCACGGAGGATGATGGATTCTTGAGTTTGACTCAAGATGCAGATGATACAACCATAGATGAAGAAGATGAAAATGAAGCAGCTTCATGGTTGTTGTTGAATCCTCCTGTTAAGAATAACAATAAGAACAACATTAACAATAACAACAACAATCAAAATAACAACTATGGGATGTTGTTTGGTGGGGAAGTAGTGGATGAATACTTGGATCTTGCAGAGTATGGAGGGGATAGTCAATTTAACGATCAGTACAGTGTTAATCAGCAGCAACAACATTACTCTGTTCCTCAGAAGAGCTATGTTGAAGATAGTGTTGTGCCAGTTCAGAACGGACAGCGAAAATCTCTGATTCTTTACCACCAACCGCAACAACAACAACAGCAACAACAACAAAGTCACCACCTGAATTTTCAGCTTGGAATGGAGTATGACAATTCTAACACTGGATATGGTTACCCTGCTTCTTTGAGTCACAGTGTAAGTTTTCTTCACTTTATCGATATACCTCACTTTGTGAGTTGTCTTACGAAGCTACTACTCTGTGCAACATCAGTTCTTTTAACACTTCTTTTTAGCTTCTGAATTACTTTTTCCAGCACTTCGTCCTTTTTCAACAGAGGATTTGTCATTTTAGGTTCCCATTTGCTATTATGGTTACCTTTACATACCCCTAAACTGACCCTTGAACTTTTGTCGTATTAAATTTTACCTAAGATTATGCTCTTTCCCAAATAAACAAAGATGTTTAGATTCTTCTTCACCTTCCTTGACATTGAAATAACGTGTAATTAGTAACTCTTAACAATTATCCTTTATATTCAAGTTATAAATAGTAATTCACTATAATGTTTAAACTGCTCCAATTCACGTATGTTACTGTTTAACCGTGTTCTCGAGATTCTTTGATAAAACTTATCCTCAAGGGTGGAAATTCTAAGAATCTTTACCTTTTCAGCTTCTCCATTGGGTTTCTTTTGACACTTGATTTAACACAAGGTTACCATGTTTATGTTAATAATCAGCGACATGCTACACAGATGTTGCTGTTGCTTTATGTGCAGATCCTTAGGATAAATCTTGTAGTCTAGCTAGTCTGTTTTCTTGAATGGACCATGGAATTTTTATGGATCTAACTTATATATACTAATATTATAAAAGTAATTACACTTGAATGTATTTTAACATGTTTTTTCACGTAGCTAATTTCACTTTCTATGGACAGTCAACTATAATTATCTTTTTAAGTGATACATGAATAGGGAAGTTGACCACTCATGTTTTTGTTGTCTTTATGTATCATCAGGTTTCCATTTCGTCGATGGATGTCAGTGTTGTTCCAGAATCTGCACTAAGTGAAACTTCAAACTCCCATCCACGACCTCCAAAAGGGACCATCGATCTGTTCTCAGGCCCTCCAATTCAGATACCTCCCCAGCTTACTCCAATGGACAGAGAAGCCAGAGTCCTAAGGTACAGAGAGAAGAAGAAGAACCGTAAATTTGAGAAAACCATAAGGTATGCTTCAAGAAAAGCCTATGCAGAAACAAGGCCAAGAATCAAAGGCCGATTTGCAAAGAGAACGGACGTAAAGGCTGAAGTAGACCAGATGTTCTCCACACAATTAATGACAGACAGCAGTTATGGAATTGTCCCTTCATTCTGAATGCAACAAAGAGAAGATCAACTGCAAGCCCCTAAACCTAGAATTAATATTGTATCTCTTACGTCATTATCGATCTAAGGCTATTGGATAATGAGAAATGTACTACAGCAGTTTTCCACAGAGGATTTGTTAAATTCTCTGCTTTGTTGTATATGTAAAAAGAGTTCTTCCTTGTAGACCACGCTGCAGTCAATACGTACAATTTTTCTCAGGAAGAAGTAAAGAAACAGATCCTCCAGTGTGAAGGGATTGACCCAACAAGACAAAAAGTACTAGTTCCGCGAGAAGCAAAGAGTTGACTGCAGTAACAAGGAGTGTGGTGGGATGGATGAGACATCAACAACCTTAACCAGAAGTCTCAGGTTAATGGAAAAACTTTTAGTAAGAAATGCTTACCTCCTTAGTGGACCTACCTGACACATAGATAGATACTGGATGCCTAAAGGGAAAAAGAAAAAAGAAAAGAAGAATTGACTGCATATAACTTTTCCACATTAAAAGAACTCAGTGCAGCCACAAGTAATGGGAAAAGCAAAATTACCGACGACCTCTCGATGCTCAGTGGCTGTATATGACATTGTGTGCTGGTGCAATATAATTGAAGCTGAGTTCTGCTGTCTGCTGTCTGCTTTCTGCTTTCCCTTGTGGTCATCTTTTTGTTGGAACATACTCTTTTTGGATGACATATAATGTTCATCAATACCTGCTTTTGGTCCAGGGCCTCTTCCCAGATTCTCCTTCAATACAATGAATATCCCATCACTGAAGATAAAGAATAAAAGGTCCACTTCTCCAAGGATAGGAAAGCACAATATTTTTGCCGAAAATGGTACTGCATAAGCGTAAGCAAAATACTGCTATGATCATCAAACTTTTAGTTGTAATGACAGAATCAAGGTACACGATATCCCTAAAATAGCTAACATACAGCTTCTAATTTGTAATCAGCAAGGATATAGGTAATTTGCTCAAGAAAAAGAAGCACTTTAGTGGGTGGTGAAAGGAAAACTAAAGGCGATAGAAGCAAGGGGACTGGGGAACGACATCTGTTAAGCTAATGAAAAATCTCTAAGACCAATCATCTGTATTTACCCTTGCTCAAGTCAATCAACTACTAAAGTGTTCCTCCTATCTTGGAATCTAAAGAGTTCTCACTTCTACAGTTCTATGTATCATCTATTTCATTAACTGTTTATATATTATCAACTAAAAGCACTTGGCAGTAAGAAAATTACTTGACTCAACAAACTGGTGTTGTCAAAAGCAAAAGGTAAGAAGAGCAACCAGGGTATGGTCGGGTTTTAAGTGCAAAGTGCGATTAAAAAGCACACGTTAATGAAGGAGACGAAGATGAAGAAGTAAATGTAAAAATAAACACAAACAAGCATTTATATGGACCAAGGAATTGAGAATAAAATTGCAAACATAATAAAAACATGTCAATAAAGTTCAATCTCATTGCCCCCAAGGCCTAGCTCAAGTGGCAAAAGGTGGAGGATTTGTGGCTTAAGTCGCAGGTTCAAGCCCCACACCATGCAAAGTGAAGCCCGGTATTTAAGTGGAGAAGGGTAGAGGGGCGGGCCCATTATCCACTGAGTTTAGAAGGCTGTGATTGGTCCAAAGGGCGGGTCACAGACGGATTTCTCGGTTATCAAAAAAAAAAAAAAAAAAAAAGTTCAATCTCATTTTTTTATTCCGTTGCAAAGATGCAAATTTAAGTTTCTAATTCAATTTTATTGACTAATTTGCTTTGATAAAGTATTCTATTGACCTATTTTGAATCACTAACATTTTTCCTTAATGTTTTCTTAACAAGTGATGTATCACTTCGCTTTGTAATTATTTTTTAGCTTGCCCACTTCAAAATCATTATAAATTACTTAAACTTATTAAGAAGCAATAAGTTGGCTGTCTTTCTAAGGCACAGACCTCACAGTGCCTAAGCAACGCAGAACACCAAGTTTGCGATGCATCTAGCTTCAAGGTTTATGCATTCCTCATGCGCACTTCTAACAAATTGCCTCATAATCCAACTTCAAAAGGAAAGAGGTGTGCTTAGAATAGAATCTTCTCCATCTACATCAAGCATACATGACTTATTAGGCTCAGTTATTTCTGAACTACTCTACTTACTACCAAAACAGTTTACCACTAAGAAGGAGGTATTCCATGGCCTCAAAAGTATCAGTAATCAAAAGACAATGTCCTTTTATCAGTCTTAAGCTGAAGGAAAGCATATTGCACTTTAGCCTTTTTTTTATGTGAAGTAGTCACTGAAAAAGTAACAAGGCAAGTTCCAGCTTATCTAGGAATAAGGTGAAAGTGTAAGGAGGTAAGAACTTTGTGGCTAAGAAATTTCATCCAAGAATGGCTTGGACGTTCACTTTTAGGTCTTTTTTGATCATTGGGTACTTTTAGTATCCAATTCTGCACTGCTATTCGTTGAACAGAAGAACCTTTATCCACCTCACAACTCACTAGCATAGAAAAAGAATACCCATTAATGTGTCACGACCAATATTATTTTGCTCAGTTATTTCTGCACTACTCTATTTACTACCAAAACAGTTTACCACTAAGAACTACTATCAATAAAGATAGTTGCTGCTCTCTTCATACTTGTTTGCAGGTTAAGTTGCTCATCTATCTTTAGCAATGCATGTGATCCAATTCATTGGATTTCAAGTCACAGTAAACTGTGAAGCATACTACTAGGAGGTATTCATGGCCTCAAGCCCTCAACAGAAATTAGTAATCAAAATATGCAACTGATTGAACAAGACGCATAAGGAAAGCATATTAAACCTTTGTGAAGTAGTCATTGAAAAAGTAACAAGGCAAGTTTCAGCTTATCGAGGAATAAGATGAAAGTGTAAGGAAGTAGGAACTTTGTGGCTAAGAAATTTCATACTAAAATGGCTTGGACATTCACTTTTAGGTCCTTTTTGATCATTGGGTACTTTTAGTATCCAATTCTGCACTGCTATTCGTTGAAGAGAAGAACCTTTAACCACCTTACAACTCACTAGCAAAGAGAAAGAATACTCATCAATGTGTCACGGCCAATATTATTCCCACCCAGAATAAACGGGCAAACAACTCAGATTGTTTGAGTTATTCCTGAGCCGTTCAAGTTGGATCAGGTCCCTCTGATTCCATGGGTACTTTAGCTATCTATTTATGCCATGCCATTTGCTGAACACCAGCACTTTTTCCGCAGCTCATAAGAGCCAAGCAATCCATCATGGAGCAATTCTAGTGATTCCAATGCAATAAAATTATTAAAACAACAAAACAACCTTTAATGATTTTTCTAATTCAATGTGAAAATATCAAACTGCATTGCTGGTTGACTCCACAACAAAATCCAGATATAGTAATCTTATTTCTTGTCTGTGAATAACTAATTTCGTGCAAATTTGCTGCTCGAGATTATATCGTACACACACACACAAGGTGGTGTCCAAAATGCTCAACTCAGTGGCGAAGCCAGGATTTTCATAAATCCTTAAGAGGGTTAAAAAATATGACGAAATAAATACACAAGGAAGTCAAGAGAATTCAACATCCACTATATATACTTAAAAATAATTTTAACCGTGTACATACAAAGTAATTTTCCAATGAAAGGGATTCGAACCCCCTTGCCCTTTCCTGGCTCGACTCCTCGCTACCTCCCACCAGCACGGTTTTCAAATTATTCAGCACACCAAGATTTAGGCAAATCGGAAAAATCTGTGTAATGTCGTCTCTGCTGGAATTTGAACCTTGGTTTCCAAGGTTTTTATCCCAACTCCTCAACGTCAAGGAAGAGAACAAAACCATATTACCTAAAGATAATTTTATTGGTCGTTTTACATATTATGTGAAGGTGTGAACCAAGGAAACCCACACATAAGGCTTCCTCATTTTAGATTGTATCAGTTGAGGGTCAAAGTTTGCACCTGGAGGATAATCCTAACAAATATTCTATAGATATGGTTTAAAAGAGAATGTAGCACTTTACTTTATTCTTTTTTTTTATGACAAGGGAAACCCGCAGCCTCTACCCTTTGGGTGAGCACAGGGTAAAACCCCCGCTCCTCTGCAATAGCTCGCAAACCACATAGGAGAGGTAACCCACACTAGGCAAGCCCGGTGCGACGAGCTCGACCCAGAAGGCAAACCCCTTGCTTTTGCTGGCAAGGGGTTTCGAACTTGAGACCTCCAACATGGAAGTCCCAAGCCCAAACCACTGGGCCATCCCTAAGGGTTCACTTTACTTTATTCTTTTGTGGATCAAGAATCTTAAGAAAAAGTGAAAAGAGCATATTCCATCTCACAAGAACATTGAAGTTATCCTGGACCTGTTGTGTTCCACAGAAGTAACCAGAGAAAGGCTAAAATTTCAAGTTTGAGATCCCTCCTATTCCATGGGTACTTTATGTATCTATTTCTGCTCTGCCATTTGCTGAGTCACAGCACTTTTTCTACAGCTCATAAATGTCAAGCAATCCACTTGTGATTCCTATGCTTAGAAAATTACTAGTTTTTGGAGGTAGAGTCCTGAGAAAAAGTGAAAAGAGTAGGTTCCACTTAAGTCACCTGAGCATAGCTAAGCCTTTTAAGCTTTGAGGTCCCTAAGATTACAAGGGAACTTTAGCTATCTATTTCTGCTCTGCCATTTGCTGAGCCGCAGGTCTTTTTTCCCACAACTCATAAATGCTAAGCAATCCACCATGGAGCAATTCTTGTGATAGCTATGCTTAAAAAATTATTAAACAAAACAAAACAATTTCCAGTGATTTTCTAATTAATGCGAAAATATCGAACTTCATTTCTGGTTGATTACACAACAATGTCCAGATACAACAATCTTATTATTGTGAGTGAACAACTAATTTCGAGCAAGTTCGCTGGTCGAGATTGTGCCTTACAGAAACACATAGTGAGGCCAGGCTATGCAGCTTGATTAAGTCACAAGGTACCTACTACCTCCAACCGGCTCTACAAGTATCGAATAATTATGTCCACCAAAATTTAGGCAAATGCGAAAAATTCTAGTAGCGTCACCTCTGTTGGGATTTGTACCTTGGTACCCAAGGCTATTATTCCAAGTCCTCAACTGCTAGGGGACACAGGCAAATCATATTGACTAAAGATAATTTTACTAGCTGTTATTTTTCATAATGTGCGAACGAAAGAAGCACACACACAGACGTAGGCAAGATTTCAACAAAAATGTTTCATCTTAGATTGTATCAGTTGACTGTCAAAGAATGCATACAGAGGCTAATCCAGGCTAATATTTTAAAGCATATAATTAAAAGACAATGTAGAGCTTCTTTCTTTTAACTTTTGTGGATGAAGAGTCCTACCATAAAGGTGAAAAGAGTAGATTCTATCTCAGTGAGAACATTGAAGTTGTTCCACAGAAGTCATTAGAGCCTGGCTAAGCCTTTCAAGTTTGAGGTCCCTCTTGATCCATGACACTTTAGTACCTATTTCTTCTCTTCCATTCGCTGAAAACCTGAAACTCTGCACTTTTTACAAAGCTCATAAATTTCTTAGTTTTTTGTGGGTGTGAGGCCCTTTCAAATCCTTAGGACTTTTATTTATCTATTTCCGCACTGTCATTTGCCAAACATCATTACTTTTTTGATCTGGTTGACAGCCACAACAAAGATTCTTTCGTGCCATATCATCAAATTTTATCCAGTAATAGCATTAAGAGGTAAAATTGTCTAAGCATTTCAAATTTGTGTATTTAGTGGGGAAAAAACTGAAAAATGCGTTTGTCCTCTTTTTTATATACCAAGATGCATTTGTATGTAGTGTAATCCCTTTGTATATACCAAACAAAGATTCTTTCATGCCATACCAAGATGCTCTACCTTAGAGGCAATTGTCCCTTTATAGATATAAAAAAATAATGAGAACAAACCTAGTTTAATCCCACAAGTGGGGTCTGGAGGGGGACAGATGTATGCAGAAATACCTTTGTGGGATAGAGAGATTGTTTCTAACAGACCTCGGCTAAAAAAGTGAAGTTATTCGGAAAAGGATTGCAGGAAGAAAAAGAAATGACAGCAAAATATCAAGCTACATGCAAAATAGAACAACAGATAGCAAAAACATTGACAAAAAAAAAACTGTGATAACTAAATTAATACTAATAAATAGGGACAAGGGGATATGAGGTTAGCCCCCTGCCACTCCCAACTAATGAGCGACCACATTCAGCTACCTACTAACCTTCTACCCTAATCCTCGATTGCCATACCCTCTTATCTAGGGACATGTCCTCAATAAGCTGAAGTTGTGTCATGTCTTGTCTTGTCTAATCAACTCCCCCATTTCGTTTTTGGTCACCACTACCTCTCCTAACTCCTGTTACAACCAACCTCCTAACTAGCGTATCTGCACACCTCCTAACTAATCCACATTCAGCTACCTACTAACCTTCTACCCTAATCCTCGATCGCCATGCCCTCTTATCTAGGGACATGTCCTCAATAAGCTGAAGTTGTGTCATGTCTTGTCTTGTCTAATCAACTCCCCCCATTTCGTTTTTGGTCACCACTACCTCTCCTAAATCCTGTTACAACCAACCTCCTAACTAGCGTATCTGCACACCTCCTCTTCACATGCCCATGCCCGAACCATCTCAGTCTCACTTCTCTCATCTTGTCCGTCATGAATGTCATTCCCACCTTGCCCCATATAGCTTTGTTCCTGATCATGTTTCTCCCTTTATATATACCATTTCTAAAAATATGTGTACCTATATGAAGCTTGTATTCTTTATCAGAAAAAGACATATTTGGAAAAAGAAATAAATCCTTAAACCATCACGTCTCAAATTCAAACAGACTTATAAGTTGAACCATAACAAACCGTAACAATAGATGTTAGTATCATATGTTCACCACAATAAAGCAGAATATACGAAATAATCAGGAAAGAAAAATTTAACGAAAAATACAGAACTGTGAATTAATTATCCGAGCCCACAGAATTCGCTATGTGTCCTTAATAAGCCCTAGCCCCATATAAGAGATCTAAAAAGGTCATTTACTTCTTTTCAATTTGTACGTGGTCATAAGAGACCACTTCCTCTCTATCATTAGATAAAAGATACATGTCAATATTCAGACACCAAATCAGTTGCCCAACATACATTATTTCAAATTTGAAAAAAGAACTTTCATCGTGTCTGTTGCAGCACCAATTATTTTCTTTTGATGTGGTGCTGAGTTTCTTTTCCTAATGTTAGTAGAGCATCAAAGTCTCAAGTCTTTCAAATGAGGTTTTCTATGACAAAGTTCCTCTATATTTTCTCTAACTGCTATTTTCTTCTCCTTCCTACACTACTATTTTGAAATCATAGAAAGGGAAAACGTCAATACTATAGATGCTTATCAAAGTACTGAACTCTGAAGGGATCTTCCAAACAGTATAAATTCAACATGTGAAGTAAGCCTACGTATGCCAAACTCAGCAATTCTTACGATGAAACAAAAATAATCTTGCTCTCCAAGAACAAGACTTCCTAATTCTTCCACTCCACTACTATATATGACCTTTAAAGCATTCTTCCCGTTTAACCTGCTTAGGCATATGTTTTGATCATTTGGATTCTATTATGAGATTCAACGAGAATCACATCACGAGAGTATTCTAAAAACCGAAATTACAAAATCAATGTTTTCAATACCATACCATTCAGGTCCGTACCATGCCCACCCCTAACGGTGAAAATCTAATAAACTATGGGAAGTGTATCGGTATAGTCCACCCCTTAAAGGCAATCTCTTGAACAAAGCTCTCCCACCTCAATTGATTCCAAAAGCCCAAGGCCCCTGGACCCACTTGTTTCAACCTCCTTGTGGCTTGACCCCACCTTCCGGCCCCACCAGAATCACCAGCCACCACAAGATAATGAAAAAACTTTTCCTACCCATTAACTTCCCTCCACATGTTTCCCTTGGATTCTCTCCCCACTTGATAGTTGCCTACTGTTATTTTCCCTCCTTTCCCCCTTCATATTCCACAGTGCCCCATAAGTCTGCAGCATACCTGCTAAACTTCAGTATTCGAAGTACAACAGAAAATAGAGAGCAAGAAGAAAAAATAGGCCAAAAATAGTTCAATGTTGAAAAAGGAGAACAGTGGGGGTTTTGATGGCAGCAGCAATTACTGGGCAAGAGTGTGTGACAGTTGCCGTTTAGTTACCTGTACCATTTACTGCCAGGCGGATTCTGCCTATTTGTGTGCAGGCTGTGACGCCCGCATACATGCAGCAAGTCTGGTGGCTTCTCGTCACAAGCGTGTGTGGGTTTGTGAGGCCTGCGAGTGTGCCCCTGCAGCCTTTCTTTGCAAGGCGGATGCTGCCTCACTTTGTGCCTCCTGCGATGCTGACATCCATTCTGCCAACCCCTTGGCACATCGTCACCACCGTATCCCAATTATTCCCATTCCAGGTAGCCACCATTTTTCTTCACACAGACCATATATACTCCTACATGAGAAAAATAACAAAATTTTCAATATATATGGTTTCTAAACCATAATATCAAAAGTGTAATGTTTTAAATAATAAAAAACATAAAAATTGAACTCATCAAACTTAAATTCTAAATTTGGCTCTGATTCCAATCTCCAGGAACCCTTTATGGTCCTCCAGCTGTTGACACTGTTGGCGGTGATTCTATGATGATTGGTGGGTCCACGGGGGAAGGAACGGAGGATGATGGGTTCTTGAGTTTGACACAAGATGCAGATGATACGACTATAGATGAAGAAGATGAAGATGAAGCAGCTTCATGGTTGTTGCTGAATCATCCTGTTAAGGACAACAATAAGAACAACGTTCACAATAACAACAATCAAACTAACATCTATGGTATGTTGTTTGCTGGGGAAGTAGTCGATGACTACTTGGATCTTGCAGAATATGGAGGGGATAGTCAGTTTAATGATCAGTACAATGTTAACCAACAGCAACAACACTACTCTGTTCCTCAGAAGAGCTATGGTGGAGATAGTGTGGTGCCTGTTCAGGACGGTCAGGGAAAGTCTCTATTTTTTTACCACCACCAACAACAAAGTCACCACCTGAATTTTCAGCTGGGGATGGATTATGACAATTCTTACACTCGACTCGGTTACCCTGCTTCTATGAGTCACAGTGTATGTTTTCTTCACTTTATCCATATATCTCAATTCAAGCAATATGCACTTTCAATTCATGAGTTGTCTTAAAGAATCTCCACCTTTTTTGCTTTTGCTTTGGCTTTCTTTTGAAACTTGATTTAACACAACGTTACAACGTTCATGTTGTTAATCAGCGACATCCTACACGGATGTTGCTGTAGTTTTATGTCCTGATCATCAAGATAAATCCTGCAGTCTTGCTAGTCTGTTTTCTTGAATGAGATGGATCTAAACTTTTATGCCTTATTTTTTTATCTTTTAAGTGATAGTTAACCGGAGCGATAACCCCTATTGTTTTCTTTATCAGGTTTCTGTTTCGTCGATGGATGTCAGTGTAGTCCCAGAATCTGCACTAAGTGAAACTTCAAACTCCCACTCACGACCTCAAAAAGGGACCATTGACCTTTTCTCAGGCCCTCCAATTCAGATACCTCCCCAGCTTACTCCAATGGACAGAGAAGCCAGAGTCCTACGGTACAGAGAGAAGAAGAAGAATCGTAAATTTGAGAAAACCATAAGGTATGCTTCAAGAAAAGCCTATGCAGAAACAAGGCCAAGAATCAAAGGTAGATTTGCAAAGAGAACGGACGTAGAGGCTGAAGTATACCAGATGTTCTCCACACAATTAATGGCAGATAGCAGTTATAGAATTGTCCCTTCATTCTGAATGCAACATAGAGAAGATCAACTAGAAGTCTCTAAACCTAGTATTACTAGTGTAACTCTTACATTATTATCAATATAACTAGCTCTTGAATAATTAAAAATGTTACTAAAGTAGTTCTCCGAAGAGAACTTATTAAATTCTCTGCATAGTTGTATATGCAAAAGGAGTTCTTCCTTGTAGATCATGTTGCAGTCAGTACGTACAATTTTTCTGAGGAGAAAGCAAACAAAGAGCCCCTCCAGTGTAAATGGATTGACCTAACAAGACAAAAAGTAGTAGTTCTGCAAGAGCAAAGGATTGACTGCAGAATCAAGGAGGGGGTGGTGTGGATGAGAAATCTGCACCCTAAAACCTTTTGGTACAAAATTTTACCTCCTTAGTGGACCTACCCGGCACAAATTCAGATACCGGATGCCTAAAGGGAAAAGAAAAAAGAAAAGAAGAATTGACCGCAGTTACCTTTTCCAAATAAAAAGAACTCAGTGCAACCACAAGTAATAGAAAAAGCACTATTACCAACGACCTCTGGATGCTCAGTGGCTGTATATGACATTGTGAGCTGGTGCAATATAATTGAAGCTCAATTCTGCTTTCTGCTTTCCACTGTGGTCATCCTTTTGTTGGAACATACTCTTTTGGTCCAGGGCCTCTCTCTCATCTAGTGTTTGTCCCAGATTCTCTTTCAGCAAAATAAATGACCCATCACTGAAGATAAAGAATAAAAGGTCCACTTCTCAAAGGATAGGAAAGCACTGATGCAATACTTTTTCCTAAAAATGGTAGTTCATAAGCACCATGTAAGCAAAATACTGCAATGATCAGCAAAAGTTTAATATTGAAATACAGTTTTTATTCTTTAATCAGCAAGGACATAGGTACTTTCCCTTCACCTTTACTGAAACTTAAAAGTGGAAAGTGCATCAAGGCAATTGACTACTAAAGTGATCATCCTATCTTGGGATCTAAAGGTTCTTTTTTAAATCCATTTCATTAATCGTTTATATATAATTAACCAAAAAAAACAACATGGCAGTATGAACATTACTGGATGCTGGACTGTGGACTCTAGTTCCTGCAACAGAGTCAAAAGCAAAAGGGAAGAAGAGCACCCCCAGGGTATGGTCGGGTTTTAAGTGCAAAGAACGATTAAAAAACACATGTCAGTGAAGGAAGACGAATATGAAGATGAAGAAATAAAAATAACCACAGACAAGCCATTATATGGACAAATGAACTGAGAAAAAAATTGCAAGTGAAACATAAATAAAGAATAAAGCATGTCAATCCAAGTTCAAAATCCGTTGCAAAGATGCAAATTTAAGTTTCTAATTCAATTTTATTGACTAATTGTCCTTGACTAATTTTGTTCACTAAGTTTCTAACAACCTGTTTTTAATCATTAACATTTTTTCCATAACGTTTTCTTAACAAGTGATAAATAACTTTGCTTTATAATTATTTGTTCTTTGACTCTGTCAATGTGAGCTTGTTGAAATTATTGGTCCTAAGCCCAGATAAAGAGAGGAGGGTTGCCGAAGCCCGAAGGTCAATCGGAAACAGCTTCTATACCACATAAAGTTAGGGGTAAGATTGCATACATCTTACCCACCCCAAACCCCACTTGTGGGATTACATTGGATTTATGTTGTTTTATAATTATTGTATATTATCGCCCTCTTCAAAACAAAACTTACAGGCATTATAAATTACTACTTACACTTATTAAGAAGCAATTAGTTGGCTGTCTTTCTAGGCACAGACTTACACTTAAGCACTGCCTAAACAACGCAAAGTACTCTTTTAACAAATTGCTACATAATCCAACAAGTTCTGCCGCAGCTACATAAATTGATAATCTTCTATCTTTTAGCAATCCATGTGATCCAGTTCATTGGATTTCCAGTCACAGTAAACCATGAGGCATAAAATGAGTAGGTATTCCATGGCCCCAACAGTATCAGTAATCAAACCACAATGTCCTTTTATCACTTTTAAGCTGATACGGGGGACTCAAAGTATGCAACTGCCTGAACAAGACGCAGAAGGAAAGCATATTGCACTTTTACCTTTTCTGATGTGAAGTAATTGTCCTGCATATCAAGGAATAAAATGGAAGTGTAGGTAAGAACTTTGTGGCTAAGAAATTTCATCCAAGATGGCTTGGATGTCCACTTTTAGGTCCTTTTTGATCATTGAGTACTTTTAATATCCTATTCTGCACTGCTATTCGTTGGACAGAAGAACTTTTATCCACCTCACAACTCACTAGCAAAGGAAAAGAATACGCATCAATGTGTCACGGCCAATATTATTCGTGCCAGAATAAAGGACAAACAAGTCAAATTGTTTGAGATATTCCTGATCCACACAACAGAATATTCAAGGTGCTCTACTATCTTATCCCTTTTAAATCATGTCCAATTACTTTTCAGGACTTCAACAAAGATGTCTCATTTTAAAAAGTATCAGTTGACTGTTAAAGGACCTGGAGGCTAATCTAAAACTTTCTACTTTTGTGGAGGTAGAGTCCTGAGAAAAAGTGAAAAGTGTAGGTTCCACGTAAGTCACCTGAGCACAGCTAAGCCTTTCAAGTTTTAGGTCCCTCAGATTCCAAGGGAACTTTAGCTATCTATTTCTGCTCTGCCATTTGCTGAGCCTTAGCACTTTTTCCACAGTTTATAAATGCCAAGAAATCCACCATGGAGCAATTCTTGTGATACCTATATGCTTATAAAATTACTAATTTTTGGGCATGCATTTATCGCGCATCAATGTGAAGTAATCTTCTTAAAACAACATACTATTAATATATAAATAGATGTGTTCCATTATAAAATTAAAATTTTAAAAAGTTTCAAGTTCATGAATATAATGAACGTTAATTATCTTTTGCAATTTAATTAAACCCACTTCAGTGATTCTTCGACCAGTTCGCTCCAAACTTGCTTTAGATCTTCATAACATCATAATAAGATTGAAGGGTTGCAACTCGTTGTCACTAAAATTAAAAGCAACTTCCACTACTTTTTTCTTCCACTACTCTTCTTCGAAGAAATTCCATGATTTACTTCGCTATTTCTTAATGTAGTCTACTTTGCAGAAGTTCCTGGTTTTAGTAAAATGCACTCAGTTACAGAATCAAGCTTAAAGTTGATATTTAAAAAAATTCATAAAGAAGTCCATTGAATAATAACTCTGATTAAAACCTTTCTAATCCTTGGGTTACAAAGCAAAGGAAAATGAAGCATTAAGAAGAACGCATCTTTAAGGTTCAAGGTCTGTCATTACTTCTGTTAAATGAAATTCCAGACTTGGTATAAATTAATTTCATTTCATAGTAAATTGAGAAGCAAAATTACAATTTTGCTTTTTAAAAGATATTTAAGTTATTTCAATTCCCTAAAATGACTTTTCCCCTGCAAATTTATTTGCATTAGAACTTTTAACTAACTTAAGGGAATATTTAATGAAAACTGACAAAAATATTTTATAATTGTGTTCCTATATTTTATAGGGACATCCAATTTTTGAGTTGGAGAAAATATTGAACCTGAATCTTTAAACTCTTAAGATGCGAATACAGGAAACGTGAATTAGAGGTAAGAGACTTGAGTAAAGCAGTTAAGACAAAAGGAGACCAATTTCTATACTAAATTGATCTTATAAAAACTCTTTTCCCAGAAAATTCCTATTTCTTGTCATTGCTAGACTTTATTTAGGGCAAAAGATTTATTGATGGTTCATTCCATTCCGAAGTTAGTAATGTTCATGAAGTTGGCGAACTTTCCTCTAAATAGCTTGTTTGGATGGTTGTTACCTATTGCATTGTAGTGTATTATGTTGCTAGTTTAAATATACTGTTGTTTTAGTGGTTTCTTAAATTTTAGAGTTAATGGTTAAAAAAACACCTGAACTATCACTTTTTTCGCGAGTTTCACACCCAAATTATGAGTTGTTCCCTTTTCCTATATCACCATAAATGTATTAAAATACACCACGGCGCTGATTAAACTAGCTATTAGTTGTTCCCGGTGTGCACTTTCTGTTATCACCCTCTTTCATTGCCATTTTTGAAGCCAATAGAAAAAATCTTTCCCACCTAAACTATCACTATCTACGCAAGTAGATGTTTTATTTATGAAACAATGTTATATGCATCAAAGAATGCATTCGGAGGCTAATCCAGATCAATATTTTAAAACATACAGTAAAGACAATGTAGAGCTTCCTAACTTTTGTGGATGAAGAGTCATACCATAAAGTGAAAAGAGTAGATTCTATCTCAACAAGAACATTGAGTTGTGGACCTGTGGATTCTCTTCCCACTTTGTAGTTGCCTACTGTTATTTTTCCTTCTACTCCACTTTCACATTTCACAGCACCCCATAAGTTTACAGCATACCTGCTCAAGTTCAGTATTCAAAGTACAATAGAAAATAGAGAGCAAGAAGGGAAAAAAAAAATCAGTTCAATGTTGAAAAAGGAGAACAGTGGGGGTTTTGATGGCAGTAGCAACAACTGGTCAAGGGTGTGTGACAGTTGCCGTTCCACCGCATGTACCGTTTACTGCAGGGAAGATTCCACCTTCTTGTGTGCCGGCTGTGACGCCCGCATGCATGCAGCAAATCTGTTGGCTTCTCGTCACGAGCGTGTGTGGGTTTGCGAGGCCTGCGGACGTGCCCCTGCAGCCTTTCTTTGCAAGGCAGATGCTGCCTCACTCTGTGCCTCCTGCGACACTGACATCCACTCTGCCAACCCCTTGGCGCGCCGTCACCACCGTGTCCCAATTATGCCCATTTTAGGTAGCCACACAAAAATTATACTCCTACATGTAAAAAATAACAAATATTTCAATAAATATGATTTTTGAACCATAATTCCAAAATGTATAGCATTAAGTAGCAAGAACATTTAAAGATTGAACCCATCAAACTTAAATTCTAAATTCTCTTGATTCCACTTTCCAGGAACCCTTTATGGTCCTCCAGCTGTCGAAACCGTTGGCAGTGGTTCTATGATGATTGGTGGGCCCACAGGGGAAAGCACGGAGGATTATGGGTTCTTGAGTTTTACTCAAAATGCAGATGATATGACTGTAGATGAAGAAGATGAAGATGAAGATGAAGCAGCTTCATGGTTGTTGCTGAATCCTCCTGTTAAGAAGAACAATAAGACCTTTGACAATGACCACAATAATCAAAATAACAACTATGGGATGTTGTTTGGTAGGGAAGTAGTGGATGACTACTTGGATCTAGCGGAGTATGGAGGGGTTAGTCAATTTAACGATCAGTACAGTGTTAATCAGCAGCAACAACATTACTCTGTTCCTCAGAAGAGCTACCGTGGAGATAGTGTTGTGCCAGTTCAGGAAGGACAGGGAAAATCTCTGATTCTCTACCACCAACAGCAGCAACAACAAAGTCACCACCTAAATTTTCAGCTGGGAATGGAGTATGACAATTATAACACTAGATATGGTTACACTGCTACTATGAGTCACAGTGTGAGTTTTCTAATCTGTATCCATATATCTCACTTCAGGCAACATGCACTTTGACGAAATTCATGGACCAAGAAAATTTTTATGGATCTAAATTTTTATTCCTTATTTTTCAGATCACTGATTTCACTTTTTATGGACGAATAACTGTAGGTACCTTTTAAGTGATAGTTAATTGGAGTGATGACCACTTTTGTTTTCTTTATCTTGATGTATTCTCAGGTTTCCATTTCGTCGATGGATGTCAGTGTTGTCCCAGAATCTGCACTAAGTGAAACTTCAAACTCCCACCCACGACCTCCAAAAGGGAACATTGACCTTTTCTCAGGCCCTCCAATTCAGATACCTCCCCCTCCCCAGCTTACTCCAATGGACAGAGAAGCCAGAGTCCTAAGGTACAGAGAGAAGAAGAAGAACCGTAAATTCGAGAAAACCATAAGGTATGCTTCAAGAAAAGTCTATGCAGAAACAAGGCCAAGAATCAAAGGACGATTCGCGAAAAGAACAGACGTCGCTGAAGCAGACCAGATGCTTTCCACACAATTAATGGCAGATAGAATTTATGGAATTGTTCCTTCATAGCAATGAGTAGATCAACTATAAGTCCCTAAACCTAGTATTAATATTGTATCATCCATCATTATCGATCGACTAGCTATTGAATAATGAGAATGTACTAAAATAGTTTTCCACAGAGGATTTATTAAATTCTCTGCATTGTTGTATATGTACAAATAGAGTTCTTCCTTGTAGACCGCATTGCAGTCAATACATACAATTTTCCTGAGGAGAAAGAAAAGAAAAAGGCCCTCCAGTGTAAAGGAATTGACTGCAATATCAAGGAGTGTGGTGGAATGAATGAGAAATTTGCATCCTAAACAAAAGGTCTTGGGTTAATGCAGGACCTTTTGGTATGAAGTGTTTACCTTCTTAGTGGACCTACCCGGCACAAACATAGATACTAGATGCCTAAAGGGAAAAGAAAAAACAAAAGAAGAACTGAGTCCAGCCACAAGTAATGGGAAAAGCACTATTACCAACAACCTCTGGTTGCCCAGTTGTATATGACAATGTGTGCTGGTGCAATATAATTGAAGCTCACTTCTGCTTTCCACTGTGGTCATCTTTTTGTTGGAACATATCTTTTTGAATTTGATACATAATGTTCATCAATAGCTGCTTTTGGTCCAGAGCCTTCCCCAGATTCTCCTTCAGTACAATGAATGTCCCATCACAGATAAAGAATAAAAGGACCACTTCTCCAAGGATAGGAAAGCACGGATGCAATATTTTTGCCTAAAAGTGGTAGTCCATACGCACCGTGTAAGCAGGATATCACAATGATCATCAAAAAATTTAGTTTAATGACAGAATCAAGGTACATGATATCCCCAAAACAGCTAAAAATACAGCTTCTAATTTGAAATTGGCAAAGAAATAGGTAATTTCCTCAAGATGTATAAGAAGCACTTTAGTCAGTTGTGAAAGGAAAATTAAAGGCAATAGAAGTAGGGGGAACAACATGGGATAGATGGATACAACTATTGAATTAAGCTAGTGAATTTATCTAAGACCAATCATCTGGATTTTCCCTTCACTTCTACTGAAACTTAAAAAGTGGAAAGTGCATCAAGACGATCAACTACTAAAGTGATCCTCCTATCTTGGAATCTTAAGTGTTCTCTGTTTCATTTATTTCATTAATTGTTTATATATAATCAACTTAAAATACTTGGCAGTATGAACCTTACTGAATTCCACTGGGTTCTAGTTCCTGCAACAGAATGGTGTTGTCAAAAGCAAAAGGGAAGAGCACCCCCAGGGTATGGTTGGAATTTAAGTGCAAAGAAGGGTTAAAAAGCACACGCTAGTGAAGGGAGATGGAGATGAAGAAACATAAATAAAAATAAACAGAAACAAGAAGTTATATGGACAAAGGAAATGAGAAAAAATTGCAAGTGAAACATATATGAAGAATAAAATCATTTTAAATTTTATTCAGTTGCACAAATGCAAACTTAAGTTTCTAATTCTTTACTGAATTTCTAACCCACTGTTTTTAATTTTTTAATAAGTGATATATGAATTGCTTTTTAATTATTGTTTAGTGTCACCCACTTCAAAATAGAATTTACAGGCCTTATAAATTACTTAGATTTTTTAAGAAGTAATTAGTTGGCTGTGTTTTTGTAGGCACACGCCTTACACTTGAGCACTGCCTGAGCAACAAAAAGCAGCTAGCCTGCGATGCATCTAGATTCAAGGTTTAAGCATGCCTCATGAGCACTTCTAACAAATTGCTACGTAATCCAACATCACCCTGATATTAACAAGTTCTATCTAGTTCAATTACAGAATACTTTTGTTTAGCAGAAATCAAAAGGGCAAAAGGTATTTATAAATAAAGCTGCTTTACAAACAAGCCCCAAAAAGATGTAGCTTACATAAATGACTTGGGTTGCTTTAATAGATTCTCAGCCATTATTTGGCTCATTTATTTCTGCACTAATCTATTTACTACCAAAACAGCTTTAACACTAAGACATATCAATAAAGATACTTGCTCATCTCCTTATACTTGTTTGCAGGCTAATAAATTGTTAATCTATCTTTAGCAATCCCTGTGATCCAGTTCATTCAATTTCCAGTTACAGTAAACTGTGAAGCATAAGACGAGGAGGTATTCCATGGCCTCAACAGTATCAGTAATCAAAACAGAGTGTACTTTTATCAGTCTTGAGCTAATACCAGGTTTACAACATATGCAACTGATTGAACAAGACGCAAAAGGAAAGCATATTGCACTTTTACCTTTTTTTGATGTGAAGTAGTCATTGATAAAGTAACACGGCAAGTTCCAGCTTATCGAAGAATACGATGAAAATGTAAGGAGGTAAGAACTTTGTGGCTAAGAAATTTCATCCAAGAATGGCTTGGACATTCACTTTTAGGTCCTTTTTGATCATTGGGTACTTCTAGTATCCAATTCTGCACTGCTATTAGTTGAACAAAGAACCTTTATCCACCCCACAACTCACTAGCAAAGAAAAAGAATACTCATCAATGTGTCACTGCCAATATTATTCCTGCCAGAGTAATGGACAAACAACTCATTGTTTGAGATATTCCTGATCCAGATATAGTTGATATAATTTAATTAACAACAGGATATTCAAGGTGCTCTACTATCTTATACTCCCTTTTAAATCATGTCCAATTACTTTTCAGTGCCTCAACAAAGATGCCTCATTTTAAAAGGCATCAGTTGACTGTCAAAGGACCTGAGGTTAATCTAAACCAGCATTTAAAAGCATATAGTACTATAGTAGTAGTTTATACAAAAATGTAGCACTTTTTGCTTTTGTGGAGGTAGAGTCCTGAGAAAAAGTGAAAAGAGTAGGTTCCACTTAAGTCACCTGAGCACAGCTAAGCTTTCAAGTTTGAGGTCCCTCAGATTCCAAGGGAATTTTAGCAATCTATTTCTGGTCTACCATTTGTCTGAACGTCAGCACTTTTTCTTCAACTCATAAAAGCCAAGCAATCCACCGTGGAGCAATTTTAGTGATTCCGACTCAATAAAATTATTAAAGCGATAAAACAACCTTTAGTGATTTCCTAATTCAATGTGAAAACACAAACTACATTGCTGGTTCATTCGTCAACAAAATCCAGATATAGTAATCTTATTTCTTGTATATGATCAACTAACTTTGTACAAGTTTGCTGCTCGAGATTATATCGTATACACACACAAGGTGGTGTCCAAAATGCTCGACTCCCTCAACTACCTCTCAAAAGCACAGGTGTCAAATTATTCTGCCCACCAGCATTTAGGCAAATGAGAAGAATTTGTGTCATATCCATATTAACTAATGATAATTTTACTTGTTTTACGTATTATGCCTCATTAAAGATTGTATCATTGTTTCGGAGGATAATCCTAACCAATATTCTAAAGATATGGTTTAAAAGAAAATGTAGCATTGTAGATTCTATCTCAGCAAGAACATTGAAGTTGTGGTCCTGAATTTTGGAAAGAAGTTACCAGAGCCTGGCTAAGCCTTTCAACTTTGAGGTCCCTCTTGATCCATGGGCACTTTAGTACCTATTTCTGCCCTGCCATTCGCTGAAACTCAGCACTTTTAACACAGCCCACAAACACCAAGCATTCCATAATGGAGCAATTCTTGTTATTCCGACGTTCATAAAATCATTAAAGCAATAAAACATCTTTCAGATCCTTAGGACTTTATGTATCTATTTCTGCAATGCCATTTGCCAAACATCATTACCTTTTTTTATCTGATTGACAGCCACAACAAAGATTCTTTCGTGTCATATCATCAATGTAGAATTAAGAGGTAGCATACGCTGAATCAAGGCGGCTCAACCCTAAAACCCAAAAAAAATAAGGCCTCAAAAATACAAATCCTCCAAAGAACCAAAAACCCCAAATTCAGTTCAAAAAAGGAAATTCAAATACGAAAACATGTATAAAATGCACAAAACAGAAATAAATGATCGAGCAAGAGGCGAGATTAAACGAAGAACTAAAAGCACTGGATAGAAGACGCAGACAAAAGATGAAGGAGCAACCTATCAGTATTTATAATGAGAAGCACCGTAATAAGCACGCTAAGCAATAAAATGTTAGAAGCACCGTTATAAGTACGCTAAGAAAAATGTTACTAATACCGTATTGTGAGAAGCACCGTAATAAGTACGCTAAGTAAAATATTAATACCGTGTATTGTATTGTAAGTAGAATATAAAAAAAAATTGTGTATTTAGTGTTACTATTAATTTTTTTTAAAACTATAGTTTGTTGGAGTATGCATTTATATTTTTGAAATTTTATTATTGATGTAATTATAATTAAAAATAGTAGATAATTATTGATGTAATTAAAATTAAAAATAGATGATAATTTACTATGTTCCATATTATTTGATCATTTTCCTTTTTACACGTTTATTAAAAATCATAAATAATTAGATAAAGTTAATACTTCATTTGTCCAAAAATATTTGTCCATTATTGATTTTGCACAATTTTTAAGAAACTATAAATAGAACGATAATTTTACTATATCACCTTTTGAATATGCTTTCTCCATTCACTTTTATCCCTAAAATAGATTTTCATTTTTACTTGTCACTTTTGACATATCAAGAAAAGACAAAAAAAAATCATGTTTTACCCTTAGCATTAAATATTTATTTTTTAAATCATCTTTCAAGACATCATTTAATAGGGGATAATTTGGTAAAATACTTAAAGCTTTCTTGATTTAGTAAGGTGACAACTAATTGAGACACCTATCTTTAGTAAGATGATCAACTACTCTAATATGGGGCAGAGAGAGTAATTATTATGCACATATTTTTGAAATTTTACTTTTGATATAATTATATTAAAATTCATAAATAATTAAATTTATCGTTAATTTTTATTTCTTAATTTGTTTAATTTACTTTAGTTTGAATTAACTAATGCCGGCAAAATGAGCTCATATTTTGGTAACCCGCTCAAATTTTAATGGGTTGGGTGAGTGATTTTTTACACGGATAAAATATGGGTTGATACCCATATTCAACACATAAAAATATGGGTAAAATATGGGTAAACTATAGGTAAAGTATGGACTAGCCAAGTGGGTTAAGCTTCCAATTTTTGTTCACTCAAAATTCATGATATCACTAAAATTGTTGTAACTTCTCTTCCTTTTTATGTCTTCTATAAAAACTAATTATTCTTCTCTATAATTGAAAAGATGAAGTCTTTGGCCCTCCAAAATATATATATTTTAAATGTACATTTCTTTTGTTAATTATAATTATATTTTTTTACTTGTTTAATTTGTATTGGATAATAAATAATAGTGTAAAATAAGAAAATCATGTATTAGTATTAACATTGCTTAAAGTGCATTAAGCATGTTTTAGTTCTAAAATGTAAATATTCATTTACTTTGAAATTAAAAATATTTTCCCCTTGTTATTACATAAATTTATTTTTATATTGAAAAGTTATAGGAGTTTTTTTTTTTTTACTTTTATGATACAATATGACTAAATAAAGTATTTTAAACAATTTTCATCTAAAAAAAAGACTCAAATATTTTCTCCATGTTGAATTCTTAAGTAAAGAACTGTAACAGGCCATATTATGCATATGCTTATTCTATTCTTGTGATACTTGACATAGCCTTATAGTATAGGTGAGGGACCATGTTTCTTATATGATTAGCGTTGGTTTAAACTAGCTCGGAAGGTGATGTGATGCCTTGCACGTTGCAGCATGTGTACTGCAAGTTATAACTCCAATGGAAGTATTTAAACTCGAGACGGGAAGGTGGTAATTGAGCTTAAAGTTGAAAGTTAAGTGCTAAGTTAAAGAAAAGAGATTAATAATTAGAAAATGGAATAAAATAGGTGAGTTGCTTGCTTGACTTAACTAAGCTAGTAGGTGACAAGTAGGTGCATCACCTACTTTGACTTATTGACCAGTCCAAAAGAACCAAGTAGGTGCATCACCTACTTGAGCTATATGGATCTAGTTAAAAAGGCCAAGGTTTATGGATCAGATTTGGGCCTATGCTAATGGACTCACTTGAGGCCCAAACTATGTTAAATAAACAAAATGAAATTAAAGCCCAGCAGCCAAATCTGCCAAGGCATAATATATTTATGCCCAAGTGAAAGCTAGTAGGTGTATCACCTAGTTTGATATTTTGAGCTGCTTGATATACATAAGCAGGTGCATCACCTACTTGACCAATTAGTGGCTGAAAATGAAGCTAAAAAGAAGGAAGTTCTAGAGGATATTCTTAAAGGTGAAGAAA